GTAATGGTATATAACATGGTATATAACGGGTATATAACAGGGTATAAACTAGGTTGTTATAAACCCGCCCATCACTAGTATAAATCAATTCCAATCACGTTCAGAGAAAGGGATAAAGTGGTCGACTTCGTGAAAGTCACATTGGTTTATTTTGTAGGTCGATGTGAATACGATAACAACATAGAATATGTATGTAAATTAATAATAATAATAGTTAATGATTTTTAATTAAAGCTTCTCAAAAAATGCTTAAGGTGGGTACAAGCTATTCAGTAATGAAACCATTGGAATAGTTGTGATGAAAAAAATGTCAAGTTACCTTTCTCGCCTTGACCCAGTATTAACAGAATCATTGTTCGGAAAGAAACATGCTATTTCGAAATTGATGGTAAGAGAGCATCGAGGAAAACAGTTCTCCCTCCAATACACTTTTTCCTTGACCATTTACATCCAAATTTTTTGGATTGGTGCTAAAAATAGAAGTGATAGTTTGAATGGCCCAAGTATAATCTATACATGGATAAATAAATATACTGTGATGGCACTTCTAGTTTGTTATTTAAAAAAAAGGAAACAAAATGATAATCACAATAAAAACATAAATCGAGATTGCTTAATGAAATGCTTGAAAAAGACTAGCGTCTACTTTCAACAAAATTACCATTGTTATATATTTTATACTGAATTCCATTTATTTGACTAAAAATTATGCAATTTTTCACTTCATATGTAATCTTTAAATCTAAACATATCCTAATGAAAGTGCGCAAACAAAAAATGTCAGTATAACGAGATTGTCATTATAACGAGAGTTCATATAAATGCATGTAAGAAGAATCTTTTATAATTTAGTTTTTATTTTAATTAATTATTTTGAACGTAAAAATTAACTGATTTGTTTAGCTTCTCTAAAATTCTGATTTTTTTTACACGTAATTCTTGTAATGTAATCCTCCACTATAAACTTTGGTTCTTGTTATTGTTGTATATATAAGTAAGAAGGTTTACACAAGTTTTCAATACATCATTAATATTAATATGAATAATATTTTCTTCCTCTTCTTTATTTAAAACAACAGCGATAATCCAGGCATTGCTTCAATTTCGTAAGTGTTATTACAATTAATATAGTCTTCAGTTGTTATGTATTCTTTATACTGTTCATTCATTATATTTTGCAATTCTAATTCAACATTATCCTCACTATTTTCATAATTAATATAATCATTTAAATCGTCTTTTGGTAAAATGTAACCTTTTTTCCCAAGAATGAATAATAGTTTCACTCTTAACTAATCAATATTTTATTGATTATTAAATCATGATTGATTTTAATCGATTCTCTGCATTACACTGATATGTCATTACCAATGAGTGTAAGTATTATTATTGGATTTAAATAGTGAGTGTCATTATAACAGGCGTAAACAAATTTGATTTTTAATGAATGGTATTACCTAAATAAATCTTCACTAAGCTATATACGTGTTACTGTGACACGCATTGCAGTCATATATGTTTGGTGATCTAAGAATGGGGCGGCTTATTGATTCTTTTTTTAGTAAAAAAAAATAAACAAAAAAAATTTTTTTTAACAGAAAATGGCAAGCCTATCCGACATTTCAGTTGCAAACATTTTTAAAGGCATCATTCTTGATTCTTTCATGAAGGATGGATTCATAAACTCTCCTCTACGGCCACCTCCTCCACAAAACTTCGGAGAACGTGCAAAGGATTTTGTTATTAAACACAAAAAGATTTTGATTACAACCGCTGCAACAATTACTGGTTTGATTCTGGGTCCTGTCGTAATTGGTGGAGTAGTGGGAGCGTTAGGATTTGGTGAAGCTGGTATTGCAGCTGGATCTGTTGCAGCATGGCTTATGTCATTACATCGTGGAACTGTCGCTGCTGGTAGTCTTGTGGCGATTTTACAATCAATTGGTGCCGCTGGTTTAGGTATTGGAGGAGTTATTGCCACTGGTTTAGGTGGTGGTATATTTGCTAGCGCAATTGCTAAAGCATTGCTAAATATATTGGAATCAAATGCTGAGGGGTTGGCAGAATTGGAAGAATATGTTTCCATTACTGATGACAATAATGATGATACAACTGATACTGAGAAATCTAACAAAACTTTGCCTACGAAAGTGATTTTTAAGATGAAGCCCCAACTTCTTAACAGCAATGAAAAGTTAAAATCATTTTTTAAAGGGTTCGACCTGGCTCAGCAAGTTGCAAAGGACAAAACCAGGCAATTCGAATTTTGGGTTGTTAGTGATAACGAGCCATGTATTAATGATACTACTTGTTTGAATAAGCACTTGGTAGATACCTATGGAGCTGATAACGTTACTTTAGGACCAGGAAGTTATTTTCTGAAATTGACCGATTGAAATTATTCTTTTGATTTTTATCTTTATCTTAAGGATAAAAAATTTTTTACATGCTATTATACTTGAATAAATAAATAAGTCTTCTTTACAAAAAATATATGATTGTACAGTATAATCCTCATTTCAATGGAATGGCTGGACACACAAGAAATTTCATTTAAAATCCATTGAAACGAAATTACTATTACTAATCGTGTTTCAGAGAATTTTTATATGTTTTCATAATAATATGTAATAGTAACAAAGATTTTTAAAATCCATTGAACGAAATCCGTTGAAACAATGGCTGTACTGTACTTCATATTCATAATATAGACGCGTTTCCATAGAGCAAAATTT